TGCTTTGTTGTATAGGTAGACAAATGTCTGAATGGATGTTTAGAGTTGGTAACCCTGAGAGGGTCAGACATTTTCTGAAAGGTGTGTGTGTGTGTGTGTGTGTGTGTGTGTGTGTGTGTGTGTGTGTGTGTGTGTGTGTGTGTGTGTGTGTGTGTGTGGTTAACTCGTAGCCATTGCTTCTTCAAAACTCCCCGGAGCAGAAATAAAAAAACCTTTACGATCCAAAAAACAATACCGGACCGGTTTTGTACCGGACATTTCTTCCTGAAATCGCTTATGAAAAATCTGTTGCGTTGTCAAGCCAATCTCATCATGTCTCAATTCGAACGTTGTTTTTAGCAGAGGAAGGCTATATTCAAAACACGTATCCATCGGTTCTTCTTCTTCTTCTTCTTCTTCGCTCATGTTTCCTTAATAATGGATAAAATGTAGCAGCTCTTTCACTCGTGTGTAAATCCGTTTACGACATGCATGTGCCTTAGTTTAACTATTCTGAGAGGTAAGACATTAAAGTTTTGATAAAGAAGGTACGTCTGCTCCGAGACTACTAATCCATCCCTCCCAAAAAACAAACCTCATAAACAGCTTTTTATTTAATTCAGCTGTTATAGGTCCTACAAAAAGGATCAAATCTTTTCTCTGAGGCAGGAAGCAGTGTGTGTGTGTGTGTGTGTGTGTGTGTGTGTGTGTGTGACAGTGAAAACAAAAAGTCACAAAATGTGACACTAAAGGCAGGAGACGATGGTTAAGCTTTCACTGCTGATGATGACGAACCAAAGATGCTGTTCACCTAAATAGCTCTTTGAAACAATAGCATGTCATTTGCTTTTGTGTGTTGTCGGTTCAGCCAGTTCTTTGTTTTAAAACTTTCCCGCCACCTGCAAAAAAAAAGGAAGTCAATTGCTTTGTCAGAAGTCGCTGGCCGTGCCAGCTTGGTTAGAATGAACTTTAAGAAAGCTCAACAGATCTTTGTTCACCAACTTCCAGGCACTCTTTCAAACAAATCCACCTGCAGAACAATACAGAGTCATTTGCTTTGTGAGTTGTCGACTAAAAGCGTCACGCTGAGGTAAGGATCAACTTTTGTTCTTATAGGCTTGAGTATGCAGGGTGGTTTACAACAGAACAATAAATGGTTTAGGATGGTAAACCATTGCTTTTGTGAAGTGAGAGAAATGTCTGAATGGATGTTTAGAGTTGGTAACCCAGAGAGTCAGACATTTTCTGAAAGGTGTGTGTGTGTGTGTGTGTGTGTGTGTGTGTGTGTGTGTGTGTGTGTGTGTGTGTGTGTGTGTGTGTGTGTGTGTGTGTGTGTGCTTACAGCCATTAATTTGATGTGCTGCTGGACAGAGAGTTTTACACAATAGTTTTAGTTCTGGTCAAAAAGTGTCAGTGAGCTGCATGTAAATATTTACACATTTAAACACAAAGTTTAAGACTGAACATACGAAATCCAAATATCTAATATTTGGGAGAAAAGCACTTTGTGAACATCTGCCAGATGGCTGAGTCTCGAGACCTGCAACCATTTCATAAGTACTTGACCAGCGTGTGGGGCTGTCATTCACAGCAGTTAGGCCGCACTCATCCACTGTCAGTGAGCCATGTCATGTTTGATATAAAAAGTCCCACGAGGTTAGACTGATATGGTGTGCCAGTAAGGGCTGGTAAATGCATTATAATGGCTGCAGCGTCAGACTGATGTGGTTCTGCTCACTGGTGAGGCTGGCCTTCTTTTTCTTGCTTCTCTGCATTTGCAGTACAATTTAGATGACAAAACTTTCTGGCGTGTTGAATTTAGGTGATGAACATATCTGAGAGGTTTGTGACAGCGGCGTATGGGAGGGGGCTGTGTGAACCACTGGGGTAACACAATAAGAAACTTCACGCGCCATTACACACATTAGCCTATGACGTGGGGGATCATGGACATCTGGACGCTCAACAATACGCCATTGATGATGCGGCGTGGGGGGTCTAAGCCATCTGGACGATCAACAATACACATGTCCATTTGATTAATGATACGGAAGGGGGGGCATGGATTGAACAATACACCTGTCCATTTGATTAATGATAGGAAAGGGGGGCAAGGTCAAGGGTCAAAATGAACAATAGGACTGAAAGGTCAAAAAGGTCAAAGAACAATAGACCTGTCAAAATGTTTGACGAAAGGTATCTTATTATGTCTCTCTCTCATGGCCTCAGATAAGAATCTTGTGTCTGTTCTAGTCTTGTTAGATCTCAGTGCTGCCTTTGACACAGTTGATCACAATGCTCTTTTAGAAAGACTTGAACATGTTGTAGGGATCAAAGGAACAGCGTTAGGCTGGTTTAAATCCTACCTGTCTGACAGATTTCATTTTGTAAACGTACATGACAAATCTTCTTACTCCAGGGTTACTTGCAGAGTACCACAGGGTTCAGTGCTTGGACCAAATCTTTTTACTATATATATGCTCCCAATTGGTAAAATCATTAGACAGCATGGGATAAACTTCCACTGTTATGCTGACGATACTCAGTTATATTTATCCATTAACCCTGATGAACCTAATCGGTTGGGTAGATTACAGGCTTGTCTTGAGGACATAAAAATTGGATGACTCTAAACTTCTTGCTTTTAAATCAAGACAAGATGGAAGTTCTCATCTTTGGACCAGAAATCCAGAAAAGGAAATTGCTTAGCCAATCGCCTGACCTGAATGGCATTACATTAATCTCTGAGAACAAAGTAAGGAATCTTGGTGTTATCTTTGACCAGGACATGTCATTCAAATCCCAGGTTTCACAAGTTTGTAGGATTTCCTTTTTCCACCTTCGGAATATTGCTAAGATTAGAAGCATACTTTCCAGAAGTGATGCTAAAAAAACTAGTTCATGCATTTATTACATCAAGACTGGATTACTGTAATTCATTACTCTCAGGAAGTCCACAGAATGTAGTTAAAAGTCTTCAGCTTGTCCAAAATGCTGCAGCTAGAGTTCTGATGAGAATTACAAAGAGAGATCATATCTCTCCTGTCTTAGCTTCCCTACATTGGCTACCTGTTAAATTCAGAATAGATTTTAAGATCCTTCTTCTCACATATAAAGCTCTTAATAATCAAGCTCCATCATACATCAGTGATCTGATTGTTCCATATGTTCCCAAACCAATCACTTCGCTCTCAGACTGCAGGTCTACTGGTGGTTCCCAGAATATCTAAAATTAGGATGGGAGGCAGATCTTTTAGTTATCAGGCTCCTCTCCTGTGGAACCAGCTCCCAGCTTTAGTCCGTGAGGCAGACACTTTGTCTACTTTTAAGAATAGGCTTAAAACATTTTTATTTGATAGGGCCTATGGTTAAAATCTGATGTTAGCCTAAATCTGGACAAGTGGGGGAGTAGAGGGAGGTGGAGTGTACAGTCGGTAAAGACGGCTCTCCCTTGCCCTGACTCCAACATGCCTCCATCTAAATAGGATAGATTAACCAGAGTTATCTCTGTAGTTATGCTGCTATAGGCTTAGACTGCTGGAGGATACACTGACCACTTTTCACACTCTACTGCTTTCTTCTACAGTCTGCTCTTTAACTGTACTATTTTCTGCAGTTTCAGCTGTTAACTTTATTTTCTCTGTAAGTGTTTTTCTCCCCAGAAGAAGCTACAACGACGTTCTGCTGAGCTGTGGTGGCCTCATGGAGGGGGCCATCGACTAGCACACTGCTGCTAACCACTAAAACATTCTCCCTCTCCTGATAATAACTTTTTGCTTTCCTCGACGTTGGATGTGCTAATGCTAGTTTATCCGTTTAATTATAGATCCACTAGGATAAATACAATAAAGATTATCTTTCACCAAATAGAATATTTACTAAGACATCACAATATAACTATAGACACATTACCTGTCTTTGTGTGTGTGTGTGCGTGCGTGTGTGTGTGTGTTTGTGCGTGTGCGTGTGCGTGTGTGTGTGTGTGTGTGTGTGTGTGTGTGTGTGTGTGTGTGTGTGTGTGTGTGTGTGTGTGTGTGTGTGTGTGTGTGTGTGTGTGTGTGTCTGCCTGCTCTGTCTTCTCGATCCCCAGTGAGTCATGGAGGATGGCTGCTTATACTGAGCTGGGATTCTCTGGAGGTTTCTTCCTGTTAAAAGGGAGATTTCCTCTCCACTGTCGCTTTATGCTTGCTTAGTATGAGGATTGCTGTAAAGTCACTGACACTAGTCAATGACTTGATGCAATTTGCTGGGTTCCTTATATAGGAAACATTATTTCTGATTGGCTTAATGAACTGACCTGAATTGGAATGTTTATTATGTGAAGTGCCTTGAGACGACTCTTGTCGTGATTTGGCGCTATATAAAAAAACTTGAATTGAATTGAATTGGGGCAAAAAATGCTACTTTCTAATCCTGTTTGTTATGTCCCTTGGATTTCACATATGATGTTTGTGAATTTTTAAAACATATTCTGATGGTAAGAAAGCGCTTATTTTCGAAAGGGGGAAAAAGTTCTTTTAGGTTTTGTGTGAAGACACGTCGAGGACTACAAATGCAAATGTCATTGAACCAGACACGGAGAAGAGCGGAGGAAATACGGCTGTAAGTTTAGCAAACTTCGAATGCTTCGTCCACAAATCTGGCCATCTGATAAGTAGCAGCTACACTAGGGGAGAGGATATTCTGTGATGGGTTAGGGTTAGGGTCATATTTGCAACATGCCTTCGTCTGATTTGTAGTCATGGGAATTACGAACTTTTACAAGCTGATAAATCTCGAAGTACTCCCTTGTCTTAATTGTTTGGCTGTTTTGTTTTTATGTTATTTTACCATTTCTGAAGCTGTTGATTTGGTTTTTGGGGTATTGTACCTGCTGCAGACCATAATAAGCCTCTCTCTTGTTATTTGTGCACTAATGTTTGATCTTTTCAGGGAAGAGCTTTTGCTAATTGGAAGATTCGCCACAGCTGGAGCACCTCTGATGACCTGCCTTTAAAAAGACTCAAGCTGCTCACAATCTGTTTGACTCCCAGAGAAACACTTTCATACTGAACTGTGTTAGAATGTTTAAACTGGTTCAAAGGACTTTAAATTGGGAAAAAATGGCATAAAAAGGAAGAGGGTGCCTTAGAATCTGTTTACAATTCTAACACCTTATTCAGACATTGTAGAAGTCTGACCAGGAAGTCTCCATTAGTGCATTTCTCTATTTTACCTGAATAATCTGGGATTTTGGCATCATATTTAAATAAATAAAAAAAGAATGCATCAAACCCAGGGATCTTTCACATTTCTTTCTGCATCATAATTAATAGCATAAACTGTGATTAACTGTTTAATAAAAGGAGTTACAAGCTTAGGTAGCCATAAATTAAAGGATACAGTCGTGTACTCTAGTTTTGTTTCCTCTGTTTTGCCTTTTTAACTCAAAAAATCACTAGAACAAGCCTTGTAAATGAATTTTATTTCACATGAAAAATAGTTTTTAGAACTATATTTAATAGCACGCGTCTACACTTGTACGTCATTATGAAATCCAGCTGATGTCTGTGTGACCCAAAAACAGCCCTATAATGAGAGACACTGAAAATTTTAGTTTTAAAAAAGAAAAGCAAAGTTCATTTATTTGTATGTTATTGTTAGAGCCTTGTTTCTCTGTGATTGTGAAGCTCGACCTTCTGCTCGATGTCACGAACACGAAGGCAGAGTCGTAGGTGTTAAATCTCAGTTCTTCAGAGGAAGCAAACTGCAAACAGTGTTTAAAAATATGGAGAGATAAAGGAGAGGTTGTTGAAGGCGACAAACACAGCTCTCCGGAGCCATGGCAACGATCAGCTGGTACAGTAGAGAACAGAGAGGATTAGGGATGTATGAGGAAGGAGGTGGAAGGCAGTCCGGATTAGCAGCTGGTTGGTCATCTTTACCTTTTCACAGAGTCTCGCCACAAGAGCTCGTTGACTCATTTAAATTGAAACATGGCAACAAAGTGCTTCTGTGACCGAACAACACTGGTTAACTTTCTTATTTTTCACACATTATTTGTGCAGAGAAGAACTGCTCAGGGAGCGGAACTCCTGTTTCCTGCAGCTCTTCGGGGATTAAATCTTCACTTCTAGCAGAATCTCTGAGTTATAAGAGTCTTCCAGACAGTAAGACTGCAGGTCTACTAGACAGCAGTGCTCCGACCCAGCAAAGGGAAGGCAGTGGGCATCCCACAGCTGGGCTCCAACCCCCTCAGTCTGTGGACACCCTGAATCCCTTGAAACCCTCCCTGAAAGACCTGTACACCTCTCTGAAGTCCTTGCATTTCACCTTGCAGGCCATCATGAGTGCTGTGGTCTCTGCGAGGCATGGATGCCGTAGCGGCTGCAACCTGAAGCGAACGTGCACCAGGTGGGGTGAGGCTGTTATGGCTCAGATCCATGTTAGACAGGAGGTGACCCAATGAGTCCCAGCGCTGAGTCGAAGGCAGGCGGATCAGAGAGGAGTAACCCCGGTCAGGAAACACGGTCGCCACCGGAGGCTTGATGGTCTCTAGGAGTGGATCACGGTTTTCCCTCAAAGGCAGCTGTGCAGCACGAAACGGGGCGGGCTTCAGATAGGTCCCCCCTTGTGGGTCAGCCAGAACCTCACTGTAGGGCGGAGGGGGGTCCTCCATCAGGACCGCCTCCTCGTAGCAGGGTGGCTTTCCAAATGCATCGGTCTCTGGAAAAGTGAGAGAAGGAACCAGGATTTAAAACCTCATCAGATAGAAAATGATGTTTTAATACAAGGCTATAAAGGTTAATTATGGCCCTTTTCCAACAGTACCTACTCAGCACGGCTCAACTAGGATTTGCCTGATTCCAAGGCATTTCCAGTAGTAACGGGCACAAGTTTACTACCCTTTTTATGGTACAAACGCCAATGTGGTTCACAGTGTACCAAGCTGTGACTGTTGGTCATTGATAGGCTAGGGGGTGGAGTCACTGGTTGCTCCAGAATTTTCCACCTTTTTTGGGTATCTTCTTTTTGAATTCTGGTAAAAAGCCCCTACTAAGAGGAATGTTATACCCCCTAACCCTATCACCACCACTGTTGCCTTGTGCTGTGTTTATGTTGCCTATGGATAACCTTATGTTACTATTCGTACCGTGGTTGGCCATGTGCACATAGCCGGGTTTTTCAAAAAACAAATTTTCTCCCCGACTATCTAGGTAAACAACTTGGGTCAACACCACCTTGTTTTTAGCAAACAACATCCAGTTTATTGTGAAGCACATTCATAAGCATGCCAAGCCATTAGGCCCAGTGGCGCTCCCAAGGGATGGCCATGGTAACCACTAGAAAATTGCTGGCCCTCCCAGGGAGGAGGTGTTAAAGTCATAATAATGTTCACTCAAACCATACATTCATCTTATTTATTCAAGACATAAATGTAAAAACCAATAAAAATTATACAATGAGTAAAAACAATTGTTTTTAAATGTTTAAGTCTTTTCTGCTGCTCACCATTAAAAAAAAAAGTTTATATCTCCATAGATTTTTGTAAAGACAGCAACAGGTAAATTAAACAAACAAAGAATAAAATTCTTTTTGTAGTATTTCTAATCACTGAAATGTATTTTTCTGAAAGTGTTTTTGTATACAAACTGTTTTTCATAAAAAAAAAATAAAGGAGCGATGCCATGCTCACAGGCTAAACTCTCCTAGAGTTAACACAAGCACCAATTTGGGCCCAATCTCAATACTCGCACTGCGCCCTGCGGGCTTCAGCAAAGTGCACTTGGTGAAAGTGCGCAGTAGGGTTCCAGTGCGTAGTACACAAGTGTGCAAATAATTGCCGAATTGATACAGTGAGCATTGTGTCATTTATCGCAACGCATGCCGTGATGTTGGTAGCTGTGAAACTTTTTTTCAAAAACCTTTATTAACAACTTTCAAACAAACAATAAATCAGTTAATTGAAATAAATTTAACTTCTTTGCTGCTTTGTCTAAAACATTCAGAGCATCAGCTAATCATCCTAAAATGAAATAATTTAATTAGAAAATACATATTTTCAGAAAAGGAACTTGAGCCTTTTCTCCCACAGCAATGACTTGTGGGTAATACCCTTGCTTGAGGTCCGCATCGCTGCAGACTTGGGCGAAGTGCAGGTTAAGGGTGTAATGCGGCATGGTCAACTTCCGCACTTGAGAATCGGGACACCCTACGCTCTCGCACCCCTGGCCGGGAACGTGCAAATAAAGGACACGAGGGTGCAAGTGAGACTATTGAGACTGGGCCAAGGTGTGCCACCCCAAAAAATTCTTTGGCCCCATCTGGCCACCGTTATCAAAAATTTCTTGGGGCGCCCCTGTGTATACCCCAAATCATAATTGTCTTTGCCAAAAAACACATTAAATCTAAAATAACTAGATGGTGGGCAATAATCATCCTTATCGATGTCCTTCACCTGGGGGGTGTTACACAAAACGAGCTTTCCTGATGAATTCCTGCTTGACAAAGCGCACCGGTTCATGGGATTTGCTCTCATGTTACACACCAAGGACAAAACATCAAGTATGTCGTTTAAATCAAATATTACCATGTGACCAGAGTACAAGCTGTTGAAATTTATTGAGCCTAAGTCACGCCCATCTACATCCATTGTCAGCCACCGACAAGAAAACACGCATCGTCCAATCATATTCACAAAACTTCAGTAAGCCTAGCTGCTAGCCTGCCATGGAGCAGGTTTGTTTACCAGCATGCATTACCATGGTGATAGGGAGGGGTTTCAGGCTAGCCATGTCCATAAAACCAATAGAAAGTCTAGTTTTTGGGATTAGGTTGCTTTCTGGCACAGCCCCCTGGTCTTCTACATAGATTGGCAATAGAGTTTTAAAAATAACAAAATGAGAGTAAGCATCAATCACAAATGTGATGTCAGAGCATTCCTGTTGAGGGCTGGGACGTTGCAAAACCTAAAACCCAGATTTAAGTCCACAAGCTAATGCTGACAATGGAGAATTCACAAATCTCCATTTTGGTCAAAGGGTTTTGAAAGAATTATTTGGTGCTGTACATCTTCACTTTTGTGTAGATGGACCACAGACAAGTGTCTTCATTTTGTGAAATTGCTGGCTACTTGTGAACAGGGTTGTAATGTAAAACCACCCAAACTCTGTGGAGTCGGGCAGCGTGACCGCTACTGGTGGGAAGGAGCCGTTAGATGTCTTTTGTCAAAAAAAGCTGTAATGTTTTCAGGATTAGTTTATCGAGTCAAGCCTTTTGTTTGGTGCCTCGTTTTGGAAACGGCTGTGATCAAATGTGTGCACGTAACAGGAACCATCAGAAGACTCCTGCTGTCTCCTATTTCAGCTTGTTTCTGCTTCCTCTGAAGGTTTTTGTCATGTCTAACGAACAAGTCGCTCAGCTGCGTGTCGTGTAAAGAAAACCAGCAGTAAATGGAAAAAGTGTCACTTCATTAAAACCTCATTGTTTGTTCTGTCTGGATGGTTTTATTTGTGTCAAACTGTTTGTACTGAGAGCTGAAGTCACTGCCTTTTGTGGAGAACTCAGATGTTCCCATGGAGAGACGAAGAGCCAAGAAAAAACCAAAGAAATCACACATATTGTGGTTGTGAGAATCAGAGTTATGAAACACTGAACGTGTCAGCGATGATGCACATTAATGATGACTGAGATCTTCATTCACAGCCAACCACGGAGTAATACTGAATGTTTATTATCTACAAGAGACTGGAGTGAATGAGGCGGAGGACTGACAACTGCAGGTTTGGGTTGTTAAGTGAAGGGTTGCAGTGCATAATTACGTTTCTGTCACAGTTTTCAGTTCACTTCTCCAATGACAGGTTTAAAAACTCTTAGAATAATGAGTCATACAATTAAATTATATCTTAATAACCAGTGTTGGGAACGTTACTTTAAAAAGTAATTGGTTATAGTTACTGATTACTTTGTCAAAAAGTAACTCAGTTTTTACTAACTAAGTTACAAGATTATAAAAGTAACTAATTACCAAGAAAAATAACGACTTAGTTACTTTTTTCATTTAAGCATGCAAGAATTACTACAATAGTAAAATATAAATGACTAATGACTGGAACATAATAAAATGTATGTCCAAATGTTTTTTTTAAACCTGAATAATTTAAATAAATAAGCACTTGACAGGAGGAACTACTAACAGGAGCATAACACTTATCTAGACTATTAAAAGGTCACTGTGTGATATTTAACAAGACCCCAATCAGCTAAAATTTAAAATTGCAAATAGAAACACCTGTAAAGGTTCCCGAGCCTTTAAATGGTCTCCCAGTCTAGTTAAATTACAGAAATGAATGTAATTTTGCACAGCATTTTAATTTTTCCAGCTTCACATAGCTGTGTGTTTTTAGCAGCATTTCTGTTGCTGGATTATCTAGTAACGGTTAAATAAATAAATAACTGCATGGGCTGCATGGTGGCGCAGTGGTTAGCACTGTTGCCTTGCAGCACGAAGGTTGCAGGTTCGAAACTCGGCTCGGCTGCGGCCTTTCTGCGTGGAGTTGCGTGTTCTCCCCATGCATGCGTGGGTTTCCTCCAGGTACTCCGGTTTCCCCCACAGATCACAACATGCCCTATAGGTTATAGATTGTAAGTCGCTTTGGATAAAAGCGTCTGCCAAATGAATAAACATAAACATAACTATCCTTTAAACTGACACTAGAAGAGGCACAAGCCTGATGGAGGACTTACATTTACTAACTTGGGTCAGACCCAACCACATAAGAGCTGAAGCTGGGTGGTAAACACACACAGGTAGTTCTGATAACACCTGAGCTCCATGACATTTGAGACTGACGCATCAGTGTTACAGCGGGACTAAAGACATGATCAGAAACAGGTTACAGCTGGATGATCTAGGAAGGTAGAAGATCAGGACGTCTGAGTGGTGAACAGGTGAGCGGACCTTCGGGACGTCCCGCTGTCACGCTAAGAAGGGCACGGCTGCAGACCCGCAGATTCGCTGCTGCAGCAACAAATCTGCGGGGGGTCTGCAGCCGTAGATATTCATCACGTCTTCCTTTTTCTTCAGGGGCCGTGATGCACTTTTATGAAAACATCTGCCTCTTTAGCTCCTGATCAGCTGATGACAGCTTCAACACACCACGCTGCTTAACGCACGCATGTCCTTATTAGTAACAGAAACTATCGTTTTGTTAAAAGGAGACGGTAATTAATTAGTTTGCTCGTTACAGAAAGAAATATTTTTTTTATTAACGTGGTTATTTTAAACGGCGTTATTCCCATCACTGCTCTGTTGGGTCTACAGGGGGCAGCGACTGAGACCGTGAGAACACTGAGGGTCTCCGCCCACCCGGCCAATCATCATCGTGTTACAGACACCTCTCTCTTCCTGGCTGCAGCTGAAGTGTGGCGGTCAGAAAGCCTCACACTGTTGCTCAACGTTCGACAAGCACATAGTAACGCGCAACCTTCCGTCCCCAGTAACGGTAACGGCGTTGCAACAGTGGGAAAAGTAATTAATTAGATTATTCCGTTAGCTAAAAAAGAATGCCGTTAGTAACGCCGTTATATTTAAACGGCGTTACTCCCAACACTGTTAATAACATAATTGTGCATTTTAAGACTTGTTTAAAAAAGCATTACAATAATATGGTGTTTTAGTGTAATAAATAAAAGAATATGTCACCGTCTGCAGGAGAAAAACATGA